GCTTAGATTTTTGTTACAGCAGTAGTTCCAAGGGCGAAGAGATGGAATCCGCAGTTGTTTATCTGGAATTATATTACACCACAGTTGGAAGAAAGAAAGTAGGGAGGGAGAGAGACGAGTGAAGGGAGAGAGTTATAGCTGGCTGTTGTTTTTGGGAAAGTTCTGCTAGTGTTACTGCTGGTGATGATGGCGCCAAACACGCCAGTCGGGAGGAGTGAGGAACTGGGGTTTGCGTATGTCCCACAGACATTTTAAGCCTTTTAACTCTGACGTTTAATTATCGTTATCTGAAAATTCCTAATTTTTCAACTCTCAAATTCAATTTTCAACAATACTTATTACTCGGGATATTAGGAAATATGTAGCGAGAAAGATGGACAATACCAGTTTTTTTAAATGGATAAGAATAACAAGAAGACGGGGGGAGTGTCAACTGATGAGCAGACGGGAAAGCCGAATAGCAACAACGGAGGAGGAAGAAAAATCAAAGGAGTTTCCCTCTTTCCATCTTTGTCTTACGCTTCTTTTTTTTTCAGTTCAAGAATAGCAAGCGTACTTCATCTGATTTTGTGAAACATTCGGTGTTTGCGAGAAAAAACAGCAGATGAAAGGAAGAAAATTTTTGAATGACCAAATGTTTTCCGTGTTGCCTTTATTCTGTTCTTCAAACCCACTCTCATGCCCTTTTTTACTCGCATCTATTTATTCCAGACGAAGCAGACAAAAAGAAAGTTTATAAAAATACCCGTATTTTGCGCATTTCATTCTTCTTTATTTATGCCAGACTCCAATTTCAAATAACATAAGAAAAAGAAAATAAAAAAACTGATCCACACCAAAAAGTACAAATTTTTTTCTGGAAAGCATATATCGATGGTCAATGTTCGGCAACCAACAGCACTGCAATGTCTCCGGAATATGAAAATACATTTAGCTCAGTTAAATTAAGACAGACGAAGAATGAATAAGAGGGGGGCCGATGATGATTGAAAGATGCAGGCAAGCGGGGAATATATTTATTCATTTATTCGTTTAATCGTTTATTCATTTATTCATTTACTCATTTATTTATTCTTTTATTTTTTATTTGTTTATTTGTTTATTTATTTATTTATTTATTCGTTCATTCATTCATTCATTTATTCACTCACACACTCATTCATTCATTCACTGTCATCCATTTATCCATCTATCCACTTTTCCATCCGCTGCAGTTTGATCAGCTCACGCAGCTCTGACTGAAAGAAAGTGGCATTGCAAGCACCAGCAATATCAGTATTACATGAAATGTTAGCTGTGTGGGAGGAATGTATGACCACATTAGATTCAGGTCACTTTTCTTAGTAAAATTCAAATGCGATTTGAATTGACCTTGTTAGTCAGAAAGGTTATGAATTATTACTTGTGTTCTGTCTAC